TTGAAATGAAAAATAACCTAAATTTAAAAAAAAGAATCAAAACATTATCCTTTTTAACTACTTTTAAAATATGCATTTGTTTTAATTGCACAGAACAAATGTACTTAGAAAATTTTATTAGAAAAACTGTTTCTCTTTAGAATATATTTTGAAAGAGACTTACGAATTCAAGGATATTTGTAGTTAAATTATAGATTATATAATTAATGCTGAGAAGTTTACAGTAATAATAAATTAATTTCCTCTACATCTGTATTTTTCTGGTTATGAAAGGAAAAGTGAATTTTTATATACCAAACTAAAAAGGGTTAAAAATTAAATTACCATAAGTGGAAATGTAATAAATATCTTTTTGAGGATAGCTTATCTATCAAAGTGGAAAATATTTGTGCTTCTGCTTAAAATTTTTACTTTTAGATATGTATTTTATATCTAGAATTAGTGGATAAAAATGTGAAGGGGAAAGTTAATCATACTGATTTTTCAGATTTCAATTATATGAAGGAAAAAACATTTTTTATTTACTTGGGAAAACTTATATGAGAACTCCAAGAGTCATATGATCACATACTAAGTAATACTAAATAACACATAAACCCTAAACTGATACTAGTATGTAGTGTTTACAGATATAGTGCAGAACTTTCTCAACTTGATGTTGAGATTCTGAGTGTAGTTCCTGGGAAAGGAGCTTGACTGCCACTGTTGACTGCTTGGAGTGTGACTCTTTAATAGCTCTTAAAGAACAATTACTGAACACTAGTTTCAAGTTTTGCATTTTAGTTTATTGGGTTTTTTTTTTTTTGGTTTGTGTTTTTTGGGTTTGGGATTTTTTCTTGGGTTGTTCAGAAGTGAACAACTAGATTTTTTTTCTGTTCATGAAAATAGGTACTGATTTGGCTTTTTTATAAATGTAAAGTAGTGTAAAACAGGCTTTTGAAAGGCATTGATACCTTTAGTTCAAACAATCTTGCTAAAAAATAAAATAAATAGACACACACATGCTGCAGTGGTCTAGTGGCAAGAAGCTGCACTGCAATCCCAGAGGCATGCTGTCTGATGCTACCAGCTGCTCCACGGGAGAAGGATGAACAATCTTCTGTGCGATTAACTCCCTTGGAAACTGCTGGAGGGGCCAATGTGGATCGGTTCTGACACACACGCTAGAAAGACAAGATATAAAATATCACAATTCTGTTTTAAACACAGATACTTGTGTATGCACAAAGAAAATTATCGGAATTGATAAATAACATTACTTATACTAATTTCTAGGTAAGAGTTATTTTCACATATTCTAATATTTATTAACATGACACAAGCAGTTTTCAAATAATGTATTACTCTTTTAATGATTATAATTCTATATCTTTTAAAAATATGAAATAGTGAATTATAAAATTCATCTATTATTGTTCAAGTTAAATTATTTTGTATAATATTTAATTGATGGTTAATGTATTCCATACATAATGAGAGAAAACTCCAAAACTTCTAATACTAAATGACCATGGGATATGTTTGAGGTAAAATTTTACACAGGTTAAGAAATGTAAAGAGATAATAAACTTGGAAAAATTTATGTCTGACTTTAATTTGTCTTTTTCTACCAAATAGGGAAGGACAAGCCATTATTTTTGTCATTGATAGTAGTGATAAATTAAGAATGGTTGTGGCGAAAGAAGAACTTGATACTCTTCTGAGCCATCCTGGTATGTATTTCAGTTTCTGAGTTTCTAATGTTCTTTCGTCTATTTTAAAATGTGGTGTTTGTACAGGTGAAGATGTTGCTCACGATATCTCCTATTTAAAATTTTTTCATTGTACAGAATTCATAATTCATGCTGTACCATTATATTTTTAATTTATCTAAGATATATAGTGATGTCTCTTCTTTCATCCTTAAGATTTTTTCATTTATTTCTCTCCTTTCTCTTGATCAATTTATACTTCTTGGTTTCGTTAATTTTCCAAGAAGCAACTTTCTGCTTTGTTAATTTTTCTCTTTTTTCATTGTTAATTTCTCCTTTTGCTTTTATTATGAACTTTCAGTACTTACTATTGTAACTGTTTCTGTTCTGTAAGTAAAAGCAGAGATCACTGATATTATATCTTCTGTTCTAATATAAGCATTTAAATCTGTACATATTCTATAAGCTTGCAGATTTTGTTGCATTTCTCTTTATTCTTCTTTGGTATAAAATATTTACCAACTTTCCTTGGGGTAAGAAGCTACACTATAAACCCAAAGACATGCACTTCTAATCCACTGGCTGCTCCACGGGATAAGGATGGATAATGTCCTACCGTGTAATTTACTGCTTCTGAAAATCCACTGCAGAATGAACTGTGAATCAGTTCCCATTTGATAACACACAGCAACAGCAGTATATGGTGATACTGCATATTTAATTGCTCAAGCATTTGGAAATTTTCTAACCACCTGTTAACGATTTCTAATTTCGTTCCATTTGGTCAAAGCATATACTCTATATTATTTAAATCCTTAGAATATACACCAAGCATATGGCTTAGTTTGGTATCTGTTCCATATCCAATTAAGTCGATAATGTATTTTGCTGTTATTGGTTGAAGAGCTTTGATGTTGGTAGTGTTGTCCCATCTTCCACATTCATATTAATTTTTTATTTATTCTGTCCATTTCTTTGGTTGCCTAGCGGATAAGGAACTGCATCGCCAACCCAGTGGCACATGTTCTAAATCTACTAAATCTCCTATGTGATTTATAGTCTCTGAAAACTTGCTAAAGGGTCAGCTGTAAGTTGGTTCTGACTAAGTGGCACATAATAGCAACAATAGTAGTCATTTCTGAGAGAAGTGTATTAAAATCTCATCTATAAGTGTGAGTTTGTTGGAATTTCCCTTTAAACCCCTCAACTCATTTCTTTAGAGTTGATTCCAATTCATAGTAACCCCCCATGGAGTTTCCAAGGTTGTAAGTCTTAAGGAGAGAAAACTGTCAATCGTTCTTTGGACTTTAGAACTGCTGGTAGTTTTGAACTACTAAAATTACAAGATTCTTTGGTTAGCAGTACAATTCTGGATTCCATCACCAGAACTTCAGTAATGTCAAATTTTGTTTTATGTATTTGAAAGCATATATATTAGGAATATATTTCAGGGTGTTTTTATCTTCTTGATTGATTTACCCTATTATAATATTGAAATGCCTTTCTTTTCTCTGATAATGCTTCTACTTTTATATTAGTGTTGTTGTTATATGTTGGAACTAAGCCATAGTTAACCCCTTGGCAGGTTTTCAAAGACAGTAATTCATGCAAGGAGATTGCCTGTCTTTCCCTTGTGGAGCAATTGGTGGCCTTGAACCATGTGCTTTGGAATTGCACCACAGCTTCTTGCCACTATACCACAAGAGTGTAGCCACATCATATTTATTACATTAAATGTTATCACAGTATGTTTTTCCCATTCTTTTACTTTCAGCTATTTTTGTATCTTATGTTAAAAGTGTATTTCTAGAATATTGCATGTAGATGCCTTGCCTTTTTATCTATTCTAATACTCTTTGCTTTATTATTTAATATGTTTCTACAAACCAATAAGAAAATTAAGCATAATAGACAAATGTGGAAAAGATACGAAAAAGTAGTTAAGTAAAATAATAAACATAATCATCTTTTAAGTTTATGTATAGATTTTTTTTTTCAGGCTTTCTCAGAATAAATAATAGCAAACACATTTTGATGCTATTTTTTACCTAACACCTGTCTTAGAAAAAAGATAAAAGTTTGATAACAGTTTTTGTCTAGGTTAGTGGAAGTATTCATTCTTATACATTATTTTTGAAGTGTAAATTGATAGCAACTTTTAAGAAAATGTTGTTTGACAGTCATTACCTACCCCAATAACAATTTACATATCCATTGTCCTAGCAGATCTTCAGGACATACTGATTTGGCCTCAAAATTGCTTATGTACAAGTTTATTCGTTATAGCATTATATGTAGTTATAAAAATCAGAAACTACTTAAATATAGCTCAGATAAGTACTGGTTAAATACATTATAATTTTATATTGAAAAGATAGAGTACTCTGCAATGTTTGCAATAAAATTGAAACTACTCTATATACTGATAGAGGAAGATCTCCAGAATTCTTAAATGAAAAAAGAAAGGTATAAAACAGGTACACACTGTGTATTGTGGGTGTTGGAAACATGGGAGAAATATACTTAAGTCTGCAAATATATAAAATTCTTCTGGAGGGGTGGCAGGAAACTGATGATGTGAGTTGCTTCCTATAAAGAAGACACCTAAGTAGTCTAGGACAAGTAAAAAAAATTTTCTGTGTCTTCTGAATTTTTAATTATTTGTATTATTTATTAAAGACAATAAAAAAGAATTTTTTTTACAAAATTTTAGTGGGATAAAAAAATAGCTTGCTAAAATATCTCACTTGTTAATTATACTAATGTCTAAAATTAAAATAAATGTCTAGTTTATCTTCCTTCTGCTTTCATACTTGGAGTTCACCTCCTTTGTTTTGACAGTGAACATGAAAAAAAAAACCCAAACACCTTACTTTTGTAAGTATTGCCAGGTTAACACAAACACACACACACACACACACACACACACACCCATCTTTATTATAAAGATGCTAAGCAGATAATCTTAGAAATAGTTTTAAAAATTTTAAGTCTTTTTATTCAGGTATATACCAAAGAGTGTGTATCTTGAAATGTTTATTATGTGTAATGTGCAAAGAAGGGATTGAAAACAATTTTAGTGGATTTCCATTTTAAGGATTTGATCGAGTGGGGGAGAATGACCCAAGCTACAAATATCCTGATAGTCTTGTTTTCTTTTTTAGATATTAAACATCGCCGAATACCAATCTTATTCTTTGCAAACAAAATGGATCTTAGAGATGCAGTAACATCTGTAAAAGTTTCCCAATTGCTGTGTTTAGAAAACATCAAAGATAAACCCTGGCATATTTGGTAAGTTTTATACTGTATTTAATTTTCATTCATTGCATCATCCTGAAAAATCTCCACACCTCACTCTCTCTTTTCTTTGCTTTCGTGATAAGTGATCAAACATCGCAGTGTGTAAGCTGAAAATTTTGTTTTATAGACTTGAGGCATTGCAGGTATTCATTACTATATTACTATTAACATTTTGAAATATTTCTGAGGATTAAAATATAAACAGTTCTTACAGGGCAATAACTTAAACCTATGTACTCAACTTCAGTCACACTGATTTCCTTCTGCATATTGCATGTATCAAGTACAATCCCATCTCATGTCATTTACATGTATTACTCCCTTTGTCTGTGTCAGTCTAGATAAATGTACCTGGCGTGCTATTCTACTTCCTACAGAAGAGAAGCCTCTCTTACTACTTTTTAAAATATATTTTACCCCTTGTCCCTTATTCTTCCTTTATTTTTTTTTCCTAGGGGGTGTGTATGTGTGTGAATGTGAATGAGTGATCTCAAACCAAAATCAAATACACCATCATCAAGTCAGTTCCAGCTCATAGCAAACTGCCCACCTTTCAGTTAGCATCCTGATACATTATGCAGTACACCACCAGGTATCTGTGAGCATCTATCATTCTACCTGTATTATTTGTGTGTTGCTCCACGAGAGCTTGGATTTTGTGTTTTATTTACATCTATTCTGTCTGGTTGCCTACTATTATTATAACAAAAAATAATAGAAGAACAATTGGGTGGCTTTAAAGGGCAGGAATATATTTTATTATGCTTCTAAAGTTTAAAGTTAAAAATATTAGCTATGTCAGTTCCTTCTATGGGTCTCTTTCCTAGTTCTGGAGAATGCTGACAATTTTTGGTGTTCTTTTTCTAATTATATATGTATCTTTGGTATGGGAGGATGTCAAAGATATCATTCAGGAAGAGTGTAAACGGTCATTACAAAGAAAGAAGAGGAAGAAAAGACCAAAATGGATGTCAGAAGAAACTCTGAAGATTGCACTGGAGCGTAGAGAAGCCAAAGCACAAGGAAGAATTCAAGATACTAAAGAGCTGAACAGAAGATTCCAA